CAGTCTTACAGTTTCTCATCAAGGGGGTGTCTCCTGTCCCCGGTACAAACACACGTTGCCTGACGAAGGTTAGGCTATGTGTATTATTTTTGTCATTAACCTTTTTCGGACCACTTATTTATTTATTGCAAAACCTTTGCGAGATCTCGCAATATCGCAAAAATATTTTTTGTTTTTTTGTTTTTAATTAAAAAAAATGTTCTTCTCCATGTCCCCTAGGGGGCTCCGTACCATGCTGCTACTCTGGTTCAAACTGCATCCCCCAAACAATATGATTTATATCGACCTCCCCAAAATAACCAAAATCTGACACGGTGTGAGATGTCTTTTTTAGCTGTTCTGCCGTCATTTCCTGCGATCTTCTCCATGCAGTCAGTCAGAATGAATGAATGAATGGGCGTTTCTTTGACTATTTATAGGCAAACATGGGCGTTACGTGAAGCCCGCAAAAGCTGCACCGCATTTCGAGTCGATTGTGATTTATAAAGGGAAACCGGCGTAGGAAGTACCGTATGCACTTTCCTCGTCGGTACGCAATGTTTGGTGAATCGGAAAATTTCTGTACCTATTTTTTTTATTTCTACTAAGTAAGCAACCTTCCCACGTGAATCCTACGGACGGCGTTATAAATGAGGCCCCTGGGAACTAAACAGTTAACATCTGAGACAGTTTACTTTATGAAAAACTGCATATGAATCCAAAAATGTTACCCCTTTCTAATTACTAGTTTAATTAAGGGCATTTGTGTTTGTACATCAGTGAGACATACTGTATCTAAAAAAATTGGTTACACATTTCGGATGAAATGGACTTTGAGGATATAGATTTACATCAGCTGTTGTACGTTTTCCTCTCTTTGCTGTGACATTTTTCATGCTGCGCATTTAGATGTAACATTGACTACAATAGCGGTTATTACATCATCTGTGATTAATTTAGGGATTATTGAAGAAGCACTAAATCCATAGAAAAACACAAAGATTGCCAAAGCTTGTAATTTTTCCATAAACAGCTTTGGTGGTCGTTCCCATCGACTTGTTTCCTGTTATACAGGCGAGACATGCTGTTCTTGTCCAAGATTAGAGAATGACATTTGGTTTGTCGAGAGCAGTCGCGGGGTTATAGGAAGTGTGGAGCGAGCTGTTGGACCGACACGCTGTCTGGCCTTTTCCTTTCCCTGGATGAATCCTAAAGGAGCTTACACTCTAATATCCTGATGGGAAAAGGGTTTGCTTTAAGCTCGCTGAACACGCCTGATCACAGCTCGGATGCTATAGGTCTGAGGCAAAACAAATATAAAGGCTTCTTCATAAACACTCCTTTGACGCAGACCTGTTGGATGGACACGTCATGAAAGCTCCTGTATCTTTTCACTTTTTTTGGAGGAGGATCATATAATTATTTTTCATGAAAGCTGGCAACGTGAATGCAGAATAGCAAAGATGTGGATGTGAAGCAGATTTTGGACTCTTTTTTTTTATTGTCTACCCAAAGTAACTTGCAGACATGATTCCTACAAAGATGTTAACGTACAGGGGGCCCGATGGAGGCACACACTCTCAGACGGTTTCTCACACAAGAAGGCGAAAGAAATCGACCGGGGAGCTCTTCCAGAAGGGCTACAGGGTCAGGACGACCCACGGGCAGGTCAGCGTGAAAGAGGACGAGGGCGGCATCTGCCACAGCCTCAGTTCATGCTTCCATGTAATCTCCTACTGGGGTAAGACCTGCAGAACGTGTGAATGAGGGGAATCTCCCATAAAGCTGAGGGCTGGCGAGTCCAGAGGGCTCTGGACTCCAGCTGGAGCCGGATCAGGATTTGCTCTGTATTATGCCCCCCATCTGGCAAACGCTCACTTGAAATGAAAAACGAGCTCTGGCCAGGCACACGATGATTCACGTCATTCCCTAAAAGATTATGTATTTACTTTTCTCAGGCTACATTTTTTCCCGTAACGTCTTTGATTTGTGTCATTTGGCATTTACACTCACAATCAATGCCAGCAGGGAAATGTATCCCCCCCCGATTGAAGAATGCAGAGATGGATTTCACTTGGCTTGAGTTGGCTTTTAATTGTTAATGCAGCCCAGACGACACTGCAGTGGCTTTTTTCTAACTTGAGTCACATCTATGAGTCATTTGGCTTTAAAACTCCTTTGTTATGTTTCATTTAGTTAAGTGCATTGTACTTAACAATAACAAGCAAAAGTGTTATTTTACTTTATGAGGTATGTTTTAATTTGAGATTGTGATATCTGTGTTAATAATCTCACAAACTGTGGTAAACTGCTTATGATAAGGTTGTGATTTAAAGTATATAGCTTAAATGATGGTATGATAGAGTCAATCAGTGATCATGTACAGGAGCTCAGGCTGGTGTGTCACTGTTGTTGTTGTTGTTTGTGTTTAGCCGTCCTTGAACTCTTGGCAAGAGGCACAAGCTTTTTTCCCCCCATAAATACCCTCAAATTTAGGTTTTGACGTCACGTTTAATCATTGAGTTTGCTGCGACAGGGCCCACCTGTCTTTAATCCAGGTTTCTATCTCGTCCATGATCAGAGTTTTCCCAGCAGGAATTAGTTTGTCAGGTAGATGCTGGTGCTCTGCGAGGCTCCTTAGATTAGAAATACCGGTGTCAGTTTGTGAAGCGAATTGTTTTTTACCTATTTCACAACGTTTATTTTATGATACAGTGAGGCTCAGTGTTGCTTGGTTAGTCGGAGTTTACCTTTTTATCAAAATGAGTTCAATGAAGTGGATAAACATGGATGAAGCTCTGAAAGGTATGGTGTTCCTGGTAAACCACCGTCGAAATGCGTTGGATGTTGTTGAAATTGTTATTGATCATCTCTGATAACTGCTTTGTGGTCTTTTTTCTCACAGGCTTGAGGTTTTTAAGGGCCTTAAGATTGATACAGTTCTCAGAAATCTTACAGTTTTTGAATATACTAAAGACAAGGTGAGTTTACTTAAATTATTCATAGTTCTTCCATTGTAGCAAACTGTTTATAATGTGTAAATATTGCATGGAACGTGATATGGATGTTTGCATGGATAGGTTTTTTTTTTTAAGGGGGAACTTAAACTCTGTTCCAATGTTTTGCCTGAAAATGTGCATGATCATTAGGTTTGGTAAATTGATATAAAGTTCACTCCTCAGTAATTACGCATACTCGTATGACGGAGTCTTAAGCGAGATAGCTTTCTGTTTGTCTCCTCGCTGTTCAGAATTAAAGCTTTTTGCACAGATGTCAGGCAAAGTTTACAGCGTAACAAAATGCTTAAAAATAATCTCCTCTCTCATTCATTCAGATGAAGGTAAAACAGAACACAAAGTAGGAGAGGACAGAGGTCACTTCCACATTAAGACTCAGGCCGTTTCTCAATGTCGAGTAGAGCTGCTGCAGAGCCACTATTTCAAGTATACTACGTCATCGAGTGGCGCCGAAGGACTGTTTAAATGCTGTTTTAGGCCCAATCCCAAACCACACCCAACCCCTACACACTACCCCTCCGTGACGGAGTGAACTCCGTGGAGTGACACTCGCAGCTCAACGAGGCTCCCTCCTGTTAGATGGAGGGAGTAAATACAGCGGCAAGCTTTGGGACAAACTCCCCTCTCTCCGGCAGAAACAGGAAATGCCATAACTGTATGTGACAACGGTTTGAAATCAGCATCTCTTTGACAAAACATTTAAATGAATAACTAAAATAAAACTCCAAACATCTTTAATTGTGTTAAAGCTTTTTTGTAAAGCTCTTTTAGTTTTAAACCTGATGTTTATAAGCTTCTTAGTTTTTGCAACAATCTGTAAGTATACACAACTTTATAATAAAATGCACACATTTACCTTTTTCTAGACTAAACACAGGTATGATCCTAAAGTTAAAAAAAGATGAGGTTATCATGAGGTTGTTAACATCGCAGTTTATCAGTGGATGTTTGATGGAACTACTTGTAAACAGCGTGTTTCCTGACGGACACACACAGCGTTGAGACCGGTCAGGTGGAGACCGTCTCAAGTCAGCACCGATGACTTGATAGCCCACTCCCCTTCCACACCGCTCCATACTCGTTGGTTTGGAACAGCACTTAATATCGTGGACCCTCCGCGTGAACGCGCAAATGGAGTGGTAGGGTGTAGGGGGCGGTTTGGGAATGGGCCTTAATCTGGCGGACCCTCCGTGTGAACGCACAAACGGAGGGGTAGTGTGTAGGGCGTGGTTTGGGATTGGGCCTAAATGCCCAGCATTCTGTGCCACTCGATGACGTAGTATACTTGAAATAGTGGCTCTGAAGCAGCTCTACTCGACATTGAGAAACGGGCATGGTCTTTATTATTTTAAGAATAGCACACATGAAAATCTCACATTCAAAGTGAGGAGAACATTTCCCTAAATGCATGGGTATTTTTAAAAACATAAATCAAGTTTTTTATACATTTTTTTATTCGAACACAATGTACTCAACAAGGCAAATATCAAATAATGAATAACTTTTGTTCCGCTCTTTTTGAAATAGCAACTCGATAAAGCTGGTAAACCTGTGTTCCATCTTCATAAGCACGTGGCTAACTGCGGCAGGATTCATTCACTTGGTAAGTTAGTGGGAGCCATTGAGTTAATGGGAAAGCATTTTGGTGTTTTTGGTAATGGCTGCTCAAGTAGTATAATTGCAATGTCGAGATTCTCTATTTCTGTGTTCTCTATTGACTTATTTTGGGTTATTTGGTTGTTGTTATTTGGTTGTTGTTCAAATCTCTACCTTTTTTTCCAGGTGGAAAACTCAGGGGATCCATGGGAAAACTTCCAGAATTCCCAAGCACTTTCCTACTGGGAATGTGTCTACTTACTCATGGTTACTATGTCCACTGTGGGCTATGGAGATGTTTATGCAAAAACCACCCTGGGCCGCCTGTTTATGGTCTTCTTCATCCTTGGCGGTTTGGTAAAAATCCCTCTCATTACTTCTTCCTGCTTAGAATGCTCCATGCAAGCAATCATCACACCCGACAGGTGTTGTTCAGGACGCCCGTCACCTGTTGTTTACTATAGGGGTGTTTTTGTGGCTCTCCACTTTACCACAGTATGTTGCATTTCATCTATTGTATCAGTTGTCTGCAGTATTGCAGCATTACATTAGGAAGAACGTTGGAGTTCTATTCTGTTGTTTATTAATTCATATATGACATGTAATATTGAAGAATGTGTTATTAACTTTAAAAGTATTGCGGTTTCAGGTAGCTCCACCCTCCTGCCTCCCCTCCCTCTTTCCAACAAACACATTGTCTCAGCGATGATTTCTCACCTAGCTGGATGGATGTATAGCAGCATTAGCTTATTATGCTAAAACGTATTTAAAAGCTATTATAGGCAATACATTGCATCAGGTGAAGATTTGTAAAAGGATGAACTAAATCCTTAATGTTACAGAAAAAATCCGTACCTGTAGCCGAAGATATTTTAGAGAACCCAGTTATCTGGAACATAAAGTTTTAATCGGGGGGGTGGGGATTAAAAAGCATGATGAAACACTTTAATAAGGTGAAAAGAGAGATACGTTTAATATTTCCATGGGAAGCCAAAGTTACCTTTTTTAATCAGTAAAATATCAGATTCATGTAAACCTCATATAGAGCAAGACAAAATTGACTTCATCTGACAATACAAACAAAATGATGGTGTAAAGCTAAACATGGGTCGAATCATCAGAATTATATTTTAAATAATGGAAAACTTTTGAAGATATCCCATTTTGCAGGGAGAAGTTGATGGATATGTGTTTGAATTTATATAATATTGAATATGATTGAACATTGCAGCAGGCTTTAATTATAATATTAACTTTCGTGTTAAATTACACAGAATCTTAAATTAAGAGCTGGAAGAAATGTCTACGAAATATATTAGTTACTGTCTGAAAGTCTGGAATAACAACATTTTTGGAATTTTAAGAAACCTATATATATATATATATATATATATATATAT